CTTGGTTTTTAAACGCCGTGATCACTGGCGGGAGAGTTTTAGAGCAGTACTCAAAAAAGAAAGAAAGAAAGAAAAAAAACGAGTCGCTTCCAAAACTTATTCTGTTATTATTGAATTTATGGCATGTACTTAATATATGAGTTACAGTGGTTGGTGTTGCAATGTGGGCACTGTGGAGGGAAGTTCTTCTCAATATGGGGAGTGAGGTGGCTTAATCAACTGGCATTGACCATAAGACGGGCCCATAACCATCTCCTCCCTTCTTTCTTTACTGTGGTCTGTGTCCCGCAGTTCTATTGTTGGTTTAATTTTGTTGTGTATTTGAAGGTTGGTTCACTCACTTTGCCACAGATGCATATGTGCTTTTATAAGGGACACAAAACACCTGAGATCTGTAGACTATACTAAGGTCCAGATCGCCAGTTGACCCGGCTAATTTGTCAGCCTGCTTATAGTCATGGGCACCGGAGTGGCGTTCAGCTTGATTAATATGGAATTTCAGTAGAATGTAATTTAACCATTAACCTAATTTGCTTGTTAGAAAACAATGGTTTCAACGAAAAATATATATTCTTTCATATTTTCCGTTGATTACATATTTAGTCATATTTATTTTTATTGGAAAATCTGAAAATAAGAAAGAACAGAAAAACAATATAAGTGCGATCTGGTGGTGTTTTTCTTCGTTTTTTTGAAGGATCTCTAACATCAATATACTCACTTAAACTGTGTCTTCATTGTTACATAAATAATATATATGAAATATTCTGTCAATACATCTCATTGTCTTTATTTGTTAAAACTATAATTTACATATTAAGCCTGTTTGATTTTATAAATTGAATGAAACGAGTTCGAAGAATCATTCCGAAGACACCGGCCGACTGGAAACAACTCAATAAACACGTTCCGGCGTATGTAACCAATGAGCCCTAACGAGACGGTAGAATCCAAAGGAAATGGAATGTTCCACTGACCCTTCAAGGAACCTGAATTGGGGCTGAGATATCTAAGTGTCAGTACGTGTCAGTACAGGCCTCACACCATCGTGACAATGTCATACTTTTGTCCTATCAAAAACATAATTAATTTGGGTAGATAAAAAGAACATTCTTTAGAGGATATTTGACTATATCAATACTGGTACTTTCGAGGTCGTTTTTAAGGTCTTCATTGCCTGTCTGAAGAAGATACCTCATTTTCCATTCATCAGTCAGTTCGTTCTTTAGCTGTTCATTCTTTGCCCATACCTCGATGAGTTCCCTCTCTCTTTGCACATTGGCCAGGTTTTGTTGTAGCTTGCCAGTTTCGTCGAATTTATTATTTCGAAAAAATCGCCAATGCTAGCAGATGGGAAATTAGGGTCGCATACTTCATCCGACTTTGGTTCATCTGTAGAAGTAAAATCGAAATTGTCGATGTAATGTTGATTTACAGAAAACACCTATCAAAATACACACACATCCAAAATGTGTTACAGTGATTTGTATAATTCTTCTCCCCCTCTTGTGTCGGTATAGGCACTGGCTTTTCTCTCTACGCTTTGCTCAAATGCATTGCCACTGAAGATGGTTGGAATGGCAGTCGAGTAAGTTCTTGACAGTGCCAAGTGGCTTTATCTGTAGAATCATCATTATCAATGTATTTTTGACATCCTTGGGGATGGGACATGGATTTCCCGATCGGATGCCAATCTATCACCAAATGACACTGCATGACGAGTGCTAGATTTAAACTTAAAATTATTCAAATATAGACCTTGGCTTAGCCTATTTATAGTCGAAGATTTTCTTTTCAGATCCTATCTTGAATCGATGCTAAGAACACCTCAGATGTCAGTGGTCGCTCATTAATCTTTATAAGGAAATCTGATCATTGTGTCTACGAATATAGTTTAGTTATTATCTTCCCAACACACCTCCAAACAATTGGTCCTTACTTCCACGCCCCCCATCCACCACATCAAAAATTGAAGTTAATGATAAAAAAATCCATCGTAAATCAAAGAGCAAAAGAAGAAGAAAATAATTCATTATACAAAATTATAAGAAATTCTATTCTTTTCCTTGAGGGTTGCACCTTCCCATGGAAATTACTGACGTGTCCAGGAAGCAGAACTCCATTGTCAGAACTACTAGTTTTCTAGACCTCAACATTGATCTAATGGGTTCCAGTTCATTAACCTACGCATGACAACACTTTTCGGTATAGCAACATCTCTCCCATGAGTCGATCTTTTATTAATGACCGCAGATACAGCCGTCGTCCCTTGCCAACAACCTCAGTAAATCCTGAGCCGAAAGATGAAGGATCCGCATGATGATATTGACAATAAGAAGTACAGAATTTTAGCTGATAATTCCCTCGTCGGCAACGCGTGCAGAGGAAGGCAATGTGCCTCAGGTAAAGCTTGTGGACCAGTGTCCTTCAAGGATCTGAAGCATACAAACCCTATCGCAGGCTGCTCTGAATATGGACGTGCTGAGGAAGGCTCTGTTCG